GCTCATTTTTAAAAACTGCTTATGTAAGTATCTAATCAAGAAGAGAATGAACATAATGCAAGCATTTGGTTTAGTGAATAACAACCCAGGGCAACCAGTACCCAGGTTTAGAAACTGCACATTGCTGCTTCCCAGAAAACATGCAGCATTCCCTCCAATCAATGCTGCCTAGTATTCTATTATTCGAATACCTACTTTTTACTCAACCACGTGCCTGTTAATATGCATTTGATCAGTTTTCAGTATGTAAATAATAGCAACAGAGCCTCTAGGTACAACACAGTACATTTTGTTGTAGAAATGTGCATATTGAGATATTTCAGGAGAATGCATACCTAAAAATGGAATATTGGCATACAAAGATGACACATAAATATGAATATATTCACAAAGATAAATGACATCACATTTCCAAAGGGATTAGACCCAACGACATTCCTCCGGACAGTGTATATGAGCTCGGAGTGCTCAACATCCTCCACTCCACTTGATGTGTCCAATCTTCCTACAGTTAGTCTTTTTGGTGAACATAGAAAGTTGAGCAACTTTTTGTAGATTTGTCATTTATATAGTCTCTTTGAGTAATGTTTATTCTAAACTTGCATATTTATCTATTGGGTTACCAGGCTTTTCTTGAAATGTCCAAAGTTCTTCATATTTTAAGTACATATGAAGCCTAAGCATGGTAAATACATGGTAAGCATGGTAAGTACATGGGTTTTCTTTTCACTCTCAGTTTTACATCTTGAAATAAATGGAATTTCTTATTTTTAAAACAGTAACTTTTTATTCTATGATTAGGGCATTTGGGGTCTTTTCTTAAGAAATATTTGGCTAATACAAAGACACCGTGTGTTTCTTAACAAGCATTATTCTTTCTCTTTCACATTTAGACCTTCAATATGAACATAACTGCAACCGACTTTTGTTTGTGGCATGCCAAATTCAGATACACTCTTAAATGTGAATATCAAACTCTTCACATTAAAATAGCTAGAAGAATCACAACAGAAGGTCTCAGGATGGGTTAAAAAAAAAAAGAACAACAACAACAAAATTCAGAGCCCAATGTCCAGATCTTACTGGCCAAGAAAGAGACAAAAGGAACCCTCAAGATTGTTGCTCTGAGAAAACTTACCTATTGGAAACTAAAGACATCTTGAGAGGGCTGCTTCCAGGCAAATAGTAGGTAGGACCACAAAACAAGCAGTGTGGCGAACGTGCATCTCAGAACAATCAAGTCTATGAGAGCAGCATTGCCCCAAACTAATGCAAACAGGAAAACCAGATGGAAAAGAGGAAGACTGCCTGCACATTTTAGGGATTGCAACCACTGTCATGGGACAATTTATATTGATTAGGTAACTATTGTCTGGTAAAACTAATCTGCTATGTAAACTTTCTCCTAGCACAAGATAAACTATTTTTTTTCAAATAGACAAACATTTCTCATTAAGATTTATTGTACATAATTATTTAAAACATGCTTATTTAAAAGTATCAACTTTTGGGTGTTTATGACTTTTCCAGTTATATTTTAATTGATTTCTTGCTTAGTTTTATTGTGGTCAGGAGATAGGCTGTGAATATTTTCAATCTTTTACAATTTAATGAGATTTTCTTTATGATCCATTACACAGGCAATGTCTTATCTATGTTAATATATCTAGTGCATAATTATTTTGTTCAAATCTTTTATACTTTTATGGTGCACTTATCTGCTTATTCTATGAGCAATTTAACCAAAACATAACCAAACTCACTGCCACGGAGTCAATGCTGACTCACAGTGACCCTGTAGGGCCTGGTAGAACTGCCCCGGCGAGTTTCTGAGACTGTAACTCTTGATAAGAATGGACAGCCCTTCCTTTCTCCCCTCAGAACATCTGGTGATTTCAAACTACTGACCTTGTGGCTAGCAGCCCTAAATGTAATCACTATGCCAGCAGGGGTCCTAAAAGGGTATGTTAAATGTCCCTTCATATATTTTAAAGATAATAAGCTATTTGGAATACCTTCTTAGATTGATCATCTTACCATAAAACGACCCACGTTTACTTTGTTAATCGAAAGGTTACCAGTTCAAACCCACCAGCTGCTCTGAGTGAGAAAAATGAGGCTTTCTGTTCCCATAAATATTTACAGCCTCAGTAACCAACAGGGCAGTTGGTTATCTATCTGGTATCTATCATCTTACTTATCTACGCACACCCATAAATACATAAAAAGTGACGATAATTACCTTGAATTAATTTCAACAAAAATTTATATTTGAAGTTAATATATTTCTACTGGAAAGTTTAAAAATCAGGATCAAAGAGCCATAGCTAATCTGTTGTTCACAGAAAAAAAGAATTAAAATAGTATGTGAGAAGCACTAAAGCAAATTTATTTATTTTGTGTATATGTGCATTTATTTGACCTTTTAAAACTGTTTTATTGGCATATAATTCACATATCATAAAACTCACTAGTAAAATCACATCAAGAAAAATTGTACAATCATCACCACAATCAATTTTAGACATTTTCTTCATTCTTGTACTCACCTTTATTATCTTTCCATGTCCCCCAACCTCCCCTGCCATACTCCCAAGGAACCATTAATTCAGTTACTTGCTTTAGAGATTTACCTAGATGAAGATTTACATTTTAGAACATCTACTTTGTATTCACAAGTTGAAAGAACTCATCAAACGGCCTGCTTGTTTGCCCCTCACTGGTAACCTGCTCTCTCTTCTTATGGGTGACTTTCTTCCATTTCACCCAAGTTCATGCCTGTCAACAGCCTCGCCTGTGGCTTGACCTGTTCTCCATTGGCAAACTTGAAAGCCTATTCATTTTAGTATGGAAGTTCTTAACCTTTCCCCCCTTTAACAATGGTCTAATAGAATATGTATCCTTTGTGATAGGCTAATTTCACCCACTATGATATTCTCTGGATTCATCCATGCCATGAAGTAACTGGTGATTTCACCATTGTATTTTTAGCACTGTTTAATATTTCATTCTGTTGCTTCATTTTCCCTATATTTCTGTGTTGTTCTGAATACTGCTTTAGGTGTGTTGATTTCTGGATGGTCTTGTCTTGCATGTTTATCTCAGGTTTGTCTCCTATTGTTATTGATTTATTGACCAACGCACATTTAGGTGCCTCAAATGTTAAGCTTGTTTCTGAGTCCATGTGTCCTGCTGATCCCAAAATGGCACTAGTTTCCCCCTGCCAGCTCTGGTTTTTGAGATACAGAACATATGCCATGTACCACTCTACTCTCCTCCCCATACAAAATAAAGATATTTTAATATGTAGTGTTAGCTAGCTTGAGATAGAGGAAGTGCATGCTGGCTTTATTTAAAATAGTTGGTATTGTACTAAATATTTAGACCAAGTTATACTTCACATGTTATCCTTGGATCAAAAGATATATTTAAACAGTGCAAAGTACATGAACTTGTTAACTGATTTCCTCAATTTTCCCCATGAATCACTCCACCTTTTTAGGAACTGAATAGCAAGCAGTTCCAATTTACTATCTTAAAAAGGTGGAAATAAGTTATTGTACATTAACTAAAAAGCCTTGAGGGCATAGAGGGTGATCTATTTGATTGATAACCACAGGAAGAGTTTCACTCTGTCCTATAGGACCGCTATAAATTGTAATCGACTGGTAGTGAGTTTGGTACAATAAAATTTTTGGAAAAATAGAGATTCAAATGTCCTGAAATGCAAAATGAGGCTGTTGGAGTTCAAGATGCGGCTATTTTATTAATATTAAAATGTTCCAATCTTGTTATAAGATGGCACAACTTCTCCGCTTATGCACAAAAGCTAAAAATAAAAAGAGAGGGAGATTTCTTCTTATAAAGAAGCATGGAGTCAACCTCACCTCTGAAACATTTAACATAAATTTTCCCTTGACTTCTATATATTAGAATGTATACTGATACAATCTATCTAATGCAATTTCTTGAATCAGTACTTCAAATAACCCATGAAACAGGTCTAAAAATCAAGACACCAAGAACAAAACCTTTTTGTAGAGCTGGGTTATCTCTCCAGAGTACTCCTAGGAGTATATTTTGCAGTGCTGCTCTTGTTTTCACAAATTCCTTTTATTTCTCCTTGTCTGGAATTACCCTTATTTCTCACACACATTTGAAGGATGATTTTGCTAGATATAAAATTATTTTTAGCAATTTTTTCTTTTGGAATTTATGCTATTCCATTGTCTTTTTGTTATTGTTTTATGGATTTATTTTAAGTTTTATAGACATATAATTCACATATGATATAAATTAATGGTTCAAATACAACAAAACGAGTTTTAAGATCATAACCAAATTGATTTTGGAACATTTTCTTCATTCTTGCCTCCACTGTTTTTGGCATCTCTTGTTCCCTTGCCTCCCCTCTCTAATGCCAAGGAACTACTAACCCAGTTGCTATCTCCATAGG